GATACTGCCTGATGTGACCGTTGGCTTCCTGTCGCCTGCAAGACGTAATACTCTCGGCTCCAGCACCGCGTCTGTCTGACACAGCCACGCTCCCGGTTATGATAATGGACGGAACCTCTAAAACTGTAAGTTTTCTTTATAAGCGTTTCTGTGGCCATGGCGTCTCTTCGTAGCAATAAAAACTTAAACTAAGACAGGTTCCAAACTCAGACAGTTGCCAGGCACCACATGGACAGTTAGATGTCATATCAGACTAGAGAGTATGGCGTCTGAGGAAACAGAGTTATCGGGGTTCATAAAAGACACACTTTAATAACCACAGGTTCTACTTTACTGATTGGTAAAAAGCCTTGCCTTGTGTGAAAAACCTATAGGCTTTTGTGATTTTCCTCTAAGATTTGAAAAAGAAGAATCCTAGCGTGTTTTCAGATCAATGCAGAAGCATCTATGAGAGTGTTGGAGGCCCACCAATGAATTTTGTTCTTGAAGGGGTGCTGATCTAAAGCCACCATCAGAGCCAGGGCAGATGCCCTGCACGTGTAAGTGGGAGGCATTATCATGAGAAACTGGGTGAGGACAATAGCAAACACAGAAGGCAGGCTTTCTGGTGGCTTGGTTAGCATGTGGTCCCTTGGGAAGATTTCAACTGGGCCCTGTAAGGCCCTGCATGGACCCCTGAGGCACCTTGAGTAAACCTGAAGCTGTTAGCCAGAACTCCTTGCCCCAGACCTGTTATTGGTACTCTTCCTGTTTTGCTAACACACACCAAGTGGGGAGGAGCTAAGCCTGAAAATCCTGTTATTTCCACTGTGCTGTAAATCAGTATTTAAGCCCACTCCATCCCCTCAGCAAATGGCATTCAGCATTCTGACAATACCATTGAAGGAATGACCTGATATCTTGTCTCTTATTTCAACTCTAGGCCTTCTCATGGAACAGATCTTCGTGCAGGGCCCCTCAAATGTGTTGGTTGAGGGCAGGGAGGCTCCAGACCTCCTTGCCAGCCATACTGATATGAATCAGCCGCCAAGACCGGAGGCCTGGACCACTGACTTGCCTGGGGAGAGGAGGGGAGTCTCTGGCCTGAAATCGCAGGGTTCAGTCTCGGCTTCTGGTGGCCCTACACACTTCTCTCCAAGTCTGCCATTAGCAAGCCTTCCCCAGTCAGTAAGCTAGCCTGTTTGGATCAAAAAGCTGTTAGAAACAGTCCTGGGAGCGGTTCTGAGTCTGTGGCTAGAAAAGTTGCATAGCAGTAAGGCTTGGTTGGGGAGGGTTGTGGACTTAGATTGACTCCTGGTTCTGACACTGACTATGAGCCCTCTTCCCAGGCCTCAGTCTCCTGGCCTGGAAGCTGGAGATACTACTCCACCATGCAGGGCGGATTGACAGTTGGTGCCGATAGTCTACAGCCAGCAAAGTCACTGTTTCATTAGCTAGTGATATCAATGACCAAGATTGTTCTTCTCTGAGTGTCTGTATTTTCTGGATTTCTTACTGGTGTATACGTGCTTCATGCATGTGTTTCCTACTGCTACATACACACTTCAGATTCCTTTGGTTCCCTTCCCCTATTATGCCCAGGCTCAAATGGTTGCACTCAGCATCAATGAATACATGATTTTTGTGTTAATGAATATGTGAGGGAAAACATTTATTTCACAGCTGTACACTCATTTGGATTTCTGAAGCAGAGAGAAGCAAATGAGAAATGGTGAGATTTGGTGTTTTATTACCCCACTCTGCAAATGCAGCTACTGTGCAGCCTTAGGCTGGGTGTCTACAAAAGGCAGAAATGTCTGCCTGCCTCTGTCCTGGGTCTTAGTGGAGATGGATAAGGCTTTTAGGAAGCAGTTATAAACACCAGTGGCCTCCAAGCTGCAGGCGGCTAATCTGGGTTCTGAGCAGGAGAAACACATTTGATACTCTTCCAGCTTCCCTGGCCTCCTTCCCATCAAACAGAGTAAAGAAAAGCATGCTTTGGTCCTTCTGTATCTGATTTCCAGGCATAGAGATGCCCAAACTTTCCCCACCCCCGTAGTAACCTAGTCCAACGGGAGGCTTTTTCCAGTCTAATCTAAATCCATGCCTTCACTTTGAGCCCCCTTTCCTTTGTTTATCCACAGATGAGATTGACAGCTGAGCTGACTACCATTTCACCAACATTAGCCTCCTTCCTCTCTTCTCACTCTTGTGCAACTCAGACTAGCCTTGACCTTTCTATGTAGGTGAGTCTAGCCTTGAACTCCCGATCCTCCCACATCCATCTTCCCAGTACTGGGATTACAGGTGTATACCATGCCTGGTGTGTGCATTGCTGAGGGATGGACATGCATGCTAGGTCAAGCCCCCTACCAGCATGGCCCCGTCTGTGCCCTGTTCCTCCTTTGGATAGTTCATGATTTCTGTGTCATATTTAAGAACTCCTCTGCTCAAATCCATGGTTATTAAGGACTTCTCTCCTGGAAGCTTGGATTTACGGTGGGTCTCTGCCCGTTTTCAATTATCATCATCATTATTATTTTGCTTTTTGAGACAGGTTTCTCTGAATTAATTTTAAAAATTATGGTGGAATTGCTTTTTCATATAGAGCTTCTTTTTTTCTTTGTTGATTTGGCACCATGTGTAAGAGGCTGGCCTTTCCCTGCTAACTACAGCAGTACCTGTGCTGCCCCTCCGGTGTGTGGACATTCTGTTTTCCCCTCCGTCTCCTCCCCCACCCCAATGACGCTTGCCTGCCCCTCACTGCCTCTTTTCTTTCTTCAGCGTCTCTCTCACTTTCAGGGTGTCATTTAGACCAGCCCTCTCCAGTCCCTTCCCTTCCCATCAGCCTTTTCTTTCTTTTCCATTCCCATCCCCCCCCCCCCCCAGCTCTTCTTTCCCAGCCTCCTACCCTCTGAGTTCTCATGCCCGATGGCATTGCCCACTCCTGTAGGAGTCACCCTAGTGTAATGAGGCAAAGGCAGCTCCTGCAGGCCATGGCTTACAGCACGGACCCAAGGTCAGAATCTCAGAGAGCCGCCCCTGCTTGTCCCACTGACGCATTCTCAGAGCTGGAGCAAGGCCAGCTTACTCTCACCGCCCAGGACAATCACTTCCCCTGCATATCTGTCACATACCTTCATACAGGACACACCACCTGTGTTACGGTAATTACAGCATGGTTAAAATGAGCACCTGACCTAGCAAATACTCTCAATTCCCAAGAGAAAAGGTCTTAGTCAATATTAGCAGGTGAAATTTTAGAAGGTGGAGACTATGTCCCTGGGGTAACGGAGCAGAGAAAACAAATGTAAGAAAATTAGACAGTGGTTTTCAAATGTGCTGAGTGGCAGAGTCCAGAATATCACCGCTCCCTCCCACCAAAACACACAAATGGTAGACTCCAAACCCAAGTCACAGATGAGTGAGTGGACCTAGTCCTTCTTTCCACTGACTTCTCTCCCCTTCTGATATGGTGATGTCCTAGGATCCCCTGGGGGCAGTTGGCTACCGAGAGTGGAATAGGGGAAGGACACAGAAAGAACTTGGATCCCATGAAACAGAGAGAGGAGGTGGTTCCAGCCTGGACCCCTGGAGGACCATCTGGTTAACATGTGTGTATTCGTGGTCCCATGGCTTTTGCCTGTCCAGTCTAACTCTACTGTTTCTCCCATCCAAGTACTAACCAGGCCTGACCCTGCTTAGCTTCCAAGATCAGATGAGATTGAGTGTTTTCAGGGTGGTATGGCTGTAGATACTCTACGGTTTCTTAGCTTTGAATTTTCACTTAACTATATCTTATCTCTTATCAACATATCTCAAACTCTTTATACTAGCAGCTAGTGTCCAGACTCACGCACACAGCTCCGAAAAGGGATGCATGGCATCTTAGTCTGTGAGTGTACCCACAAGGCGTGGCTTGGCTTGATATATGCCCCACCTTTCTGAGAAATGCCACATTGCCTTATTGTGTTTTAGATATAGTGGCTTGTGGTATTTAGACCCAAATACGTTCTAAAATGTACACCCAGCTTCAGACTTAAAAATAGAGCAGGGCTTAAAAACAAAGAATGCTACACTTTCCCTGAATAATGAGAGGTATTCTAAATACCAATTGTAAGACATCAAACAGAGACGGCCTAATTACTCCCTTCGCTTCTGCTGGAGCATCTGCTAGGAAGATGGGTCATACGAAGAACTACTTTTCTAAGTGGGAATCTCTGCACACGCTTAATTATAAAACGGCCACTGCCTTACAAAAAACACTGCTTTGTATAAATGTGACTGTGGGCTATTAAACGTTCCTAAACAAGCTACAGAAAAATACAAAACATTTATTTAGGTCTCTGTCAATTTGAAAGATTTTAAAAGAGAATATTTGTAGCTTGAAAGGAAAGGGTTGGTGAAATGTAGAAAAAGAGATGGGAGAAAATTCTCATAGTTTAGGAGAATGATGCCTGTTACAGCATTGACATTTGCTTGAGGTTGACAGCTATTCATTATAGTCAAATGGGAAAAGGCTCCTGCCCCCTTTTTATTTTAGGGGGGAAAAAAAAGAAAAGAAAAAGAAACTCTTTTTTTTTTTTTTTTTTTTTTTTTGAAATTTAAAGAGCAGTTGTAATAGTCTACTGTTCCAAGGTACAGGGTCTACAAACCACAGCCCTGCAGAGGGGGTGTGATTAGTCTGACAGATTCTGCCCTGCCTTTCTCAGGCTGGGGCTAAGAATGACGCTTACAACATTAAAATGAGTGGAAAGGCAAAAGAAAAAAATATTTCTTGGCATGTGAAATTACACCAAATTCAAATTTCAGAGTCCACCAGTAAAGTTTTATTGACACCCAGCCGTGTGCGTTTCTTTACATTTGCCTGTGGTTGCTTTCCTGGATTTGATGTCGGAGTTAAGTGGACTTGACACATGACATGGTTGAAAAGCTGAAGGAATTAACCCACCCTGAAGGATTTGCTGACCTGAGTGACGGAAGCCACCCTCAGACTCCTGGGGCACAGGGAAGGCACATACCTGGTTGAGATGTTGCAGGTGTCTGATGAGACACCTGAACCCACAGTAGCTGCCTCTGAACGCACCTCTTGACTGCTCACCACATTGCTGGGATCAGGCGGGTTTGGGACACAAACACAGAGCGGGAGACGACAGAGAGAAGGTAAGTAGCTTGTCTCTGAGGGAGGATGGTTTCCACTTGCAGATCTAAGTACTGGGATAAACCCTGGAGAAATTCTGGCTCATATGTCAGCAACTCAACAAATTGCTACGACTGAGGATGGACTAGCTTTCATTTGTGTCCCTGGACATCACTGCCCTGTTAACCTCAGCAGAGAGAGAAACAGGTTAACTGGTATTCACCAGCAAAGGAAAAGCTGACATTTTAGTTCTCCTCCCTCGTCATCTGTCTCTAAGTGTGTCAAATGATATGCATAATTTGTGTGTGTTGTTTTTTAAAGACAGGGTCTCTGGTGGCCCATGCTGGCCTTAAACTCACTGTGTAGCTGCTGCCTCCCAAATGTAGGTATTGTAGGCATGGGCCATAATGCCTGGCTGAATTATTTTAGTGTTACTTTTGAGTTTTATTTTGAATTTCAATGATCCAATCAATCTTCTGAAGTCTAACCTGAGTGTGTAACTTGAGAATGAATTAGCTGAGGTAGGGGTGGTTCACCAAGTCCTACCTACCACCTACCATTAAAAAAAAATACAAAAAACAAAACAAAGCAAACAAACACAGCAAAACTAAACAATCCAAAAACAAAATCCCAGGCTGGAGAGCATTGTACTGGAGGTAAAAGTGCTGGATACCACACCTGACAACTTGAGTTCAATTTCTAGGACCCCCAGCTCCTTTCCAACAAACAAACAAGTGAACTAGCAGGGCAAGGGGTAGCTGCCATATGCCACCTACCACCCAGAGATAACAAAACAAAACAAAACAAACCCAAACCAGCTACCAATTCTCAACCAGCCTACTTTGTGGACCCCTGAACAACTCAATCTTACAAAGACATTTTCTTGTCTCGGGGTTAATTCAACTGGATGAAACTTGGCAGGTTTTAGCTTGGTGGCCACTGTGAATGAGACTTTAATGTGAGTGATCACATATGGCTATGAGAAGTATTGACACCACAGGCACAGGATCAAGCCGTAAAGCTAATGCAGAAGACCTATGGGAGGTCATATTTGACCTTGGTGACATTGCTAAATGGGAGTTTGGTTACCTTGCACATTGTGGAATCTGGGGAGTGACAAATGATCCTCCAGACCCAGGTCAGACAGACCTTTGTCTTCCACCAATTTGGCTTTATGGAAGCTGTTTCCCCAAAGGGCTTAAGATACCTTGCTCAGGCCGGCTGTTGGTACCGCATGCCTTTAATACCAGCACTCGGGAGGCAGAGGCAGGTGGATCTCTGTGAGTTCGAGGTCAGCCTGGTCTACAGAGCTAGTTCCAAGACAGGCTCCAAAACAATACAGAGAAACCCTGCCTCGAAAAACAAAAAACAAAACAAAACAAAAAACCTTGCTGGGGAGGTTGTGGGGGAGGGGACAGAAAGCTCTCAGCTGCTCACTGATTTATGATTATCAATAACTAATTCACATGTTAAATGATTACATGCATTATTTGGTAAATGTATTGGTGGCCAACATATTAGTACATTTCCGGGCTGTAAAATACATATTAATAAAATATATATTCAGATGTGTGTTGCATAGGTACCAAATACTCACCTGACCTGAGTACATTTAAAATAAAAAGTGATTCTGAATTTCAGAAACCCTGTCCTGGGGTGGTGGCTCAGTAGTTAAGAACACTGGCTGCTTTTGCAAGGACTCATGTTCGATTCCCAGGACCTTCATGGCAGCTCACAACTGCTTGTAACTTTAGTTCCAGAGAATCTGATGCCCTCTTCTGGCACACACACTCATGCACACACGTACACATACACATAAAATAAATGAATACATGTAAGGAAGGAAGGGAGGAAGGGAGGAAGACAGGAAGACAGGAAGGAAGACAGGAAGGAAACCTCTAGGTTTTCTAAGACTGCAGTAGCTTAGATTTGCTATGGGACAGGAGAACAATTTCTTTAAGTATCTGAAAATGCAGCCAGGCAAGGGACCCAAGAAAACATCTCATAGTCAATTGGTCAACATAGCAACATAAGAAAGCCAGATAATTCCATGTGCTGTTCAACTCCATTGTCTTTAATTGATATGCCGAGCTGAAATCTTGATTGTGGATTTTAAAATAGTGACAATTTGGATTTCTGTTTTTAAAAACAAACACAATAAATTGTGAGCCAGGGCATAAAACTTCCCTGTTTACTAAGGCCATGTAACTATACTCAAAGGCTAGAGAATCAGGTAGGTTTGTGACACTCAGAGCAAGTCACAAACCCCCAAGCTGGAAACAGAGGCGGGGAAGGATCAGCATTGCATGAGAACAGGAAAGCTGGGACCAGTCCAAGCCTCCCTTGTGTGGCAGCTTAGAGACACCATGAGAACAGCTGTTTTCCTGGTGTTCCGGTTTCCACTGGCTTTCATAACGAAATGCGCATGGAAAGAAAATCCGATGAGGAGAAAACACTCAGCACAAAAGCGCTACAGTTTTCTGTCCTTTGAGCTGAGATGTAGGTCAGCTTGTCCGTTTCTCACTCTCCAGCGTGTGTGAGCATGTACACATGCATGCTAGTGCGTGCGTGCGTGTAAGTGTGTATACGTGCAAATGGACGCACACACACACTGACTCTTTCCTCCTGGCCCACACCAATCCATTCCCATGGCACCCTCTAGAAACACAGCAGGCAGGGATTATGTTGGCATCAAAACAAAGCGACTATTATTCCTACTATAAAATGTATCTTACTTACAAACAAGCATGAGAAAGAAGCACAAACACTAGCTGAAACTGCACCATCAGGACCCAAGCATTTGCCCTGCATTTTAATTAGGACTCTCCAGCTAACACAGAACTACCCCTTCCTCAGCCTGCACACAAAGCTGAGCTTGGGGAGCCGGGTCTGAGTCCTTGCATGGGAGCCAGCATGGAACCTTACGTTTCCCATCCTTAACTTGTCAGTTTTAGGGTGTTGTCTTACCGGCTCTTTCAGAGTATTAGAAATGTGCATGAGAATGACTCTTGGGATCCTTGTCACAGTGATTAAAAATGACCCTTTCACCGCAGTTCCTTGATGGTAGCAGAAAAGTATGGAGAGAGACGAAAGGATTGGATGGGCAGGAGGGTCATTTTGATTCCTGGGAACAGGGAAAAAGAACATTTAAAACTCACTACATAAAAAGCAACCAGAAACTTCTCTCTGGTTCATATCCTCAGTGGCATTGTGACACAGCAAGCACTTTGGCAAGATCCCTATCCTCCTTGGTCGCCAAGGTTACCTTATATCTTGGGCTAATTCACATTTTTTGCTGGCATTCATGTGTAAACAGGAAAACTATTAATGAGCCAAAATATGCATGGCTCTTTGTTGTAGTTTTCTGTCCTTCCATCCACCCTTCCAGTTGGCTGTTGCTTTTATTTTCATTTGCAATAGATCGAGTCCTTCAACGGTGTTCACCGTTTAAATGACAGAGAGACGTGTGTAATTTTTGCCAATATTAGCCTGGTGAGTAGAGCTATCATCATGTCACATGATCAGGACTGGGGCCAGCAAAGGTAACCCGGGGCTTAGCTTTGACGGGAAGACACGACAGGACTGGCTCAGTTAGCTTCTGCACAGTTTTGGGTTCCCTAAGCCAGCTGATTTCTTTTGTGTTCCCTAAAGGTCACTTCAGCGTGAATCGTTTACTGGACTTGTAATGACACAGCTCCCAAGAATGTGTACCAGTCAGCTTCACCGAGAGAAAGAAAGAACAGAATGGAAATGGTCCTCCCTCTCACTCAAACCTGAAAGCCAAAAGAAAGGAGAGCTGATGTCACTCTTCTGGTGTCCTTCTGAATGTGTGACCCTGCGTTCTCAGGGATGCTACTCTAGAAAAGGAGGCCGGCTTTCCCAGAAGCAACTTCACAGGCTCCAAGGGAAGCTTGTGTCTTTAGAAAAAATCCCTCTACAACTGGCTTGGCCTGCTAAGTCATTCTGAATTAAGGTCTGACAGTGCCCTGGGATCCGAGGGAGGAGGGGACCCATGGCCAGCAGGATGGCAGAGTTGGCATTTTGCTCTTACTTAAATAACCCAGGAAGAGAAAGGGAACAGGGCAGCAAGGCTGAGGCAGAACCACAGCCTGGCTGCGCACCCAAGGGTGCTGTGTGCCTACATGGCTCACTCGGGAGGGCACTTGCCTAGTATGCACAGAGCCTTGGGTTTGATCCCCAGCTGTGTATGGGCCTCTAGTGCTGGTGCCGTCTACAATTCTAGCACTCATGAGGAGGTAGAAGCAGGAGGACCAGAAGCTCAGGGTCATTCTCCCCTACACAGTGAATCTGAAGCCAGCCCAGGCTACGGGTGGGTGGGTGGGGGGTGTTATTGGAGGACAAATCTGGGCTTTCACATGTGGAAATCCATTTTGTCATTTCGATCTGATACTGGAAGAGTAGAGCAGGCCAGGAAATTCTGACACATTTTCCCCATCTCCTCATTTTTTTTTCCCTAAAGGAAGGATGTTTACTTTTCCATTGAGATTTATAAGCCTTAGAACTTACTCTACCGACTAAGAGAGAGATGCAGAAGGGACACCTGTTCCCCATCTGCTTGGGAAAGAAATGACTCACAGGCCACTGCGAATGGCCCCCGAGGTCTGGTCCTCCAGGTACTGAAGTCTGGTTTAGGCATCAGGTTTCTGAGCAGGTTTCATTGTAGCAGGATAAACCATTGGGACAGAGGACTGCCTGCTCTGCCTCCCTCCCCTGTCACAATGCTTGGCTCTGCTGGGCTTGGCTGGAGGAGGATGCAGAGGCTCCAGAAGCTGGGTTATCACATGACGGGAGAGGGAGCCTAAAAGGGCCCTTTTAACCTAAGCCAAGAGTCACTCAATACCTGCTTTCAATCTAGAAACAGTCCTGCAGAAGAGAGGTTGAGCAGAGAGTGTCATTGAAGTTACCGCCTTTTCTTGTGGTCACCAGGGACATCAGCCTGCCATCCCTCCTCCCTGCACAAGTGGCCAGGGCCATCAGCTCTTCCTCCCTCATAGCTAACACACCTGCCTTTAGGGAGAAGATCTGATTATTTCCCCAGGAAGCCGAAAATAATACTACTCTCCGCACCTAACCATCGTTTGAGAACTGACATTGTAGTGCTAGGCATGTTGGGTAACCAGTGATAACTTGAATAGGAGTCTGGGGAAGATTGAGAATACCTTTAAGTCAAGGTACATACAATGTTTTACAGCCACACCAGCAACTTCGGGGCCCTAAGAACAATAGTTCGATTCAGCCTGGTACTCTCTAGAAACCCCTCCAACATTATGCAAAGCCAATTTTGTGCTGTAGTCCCTGAATAAAGTCTGGGCTGCATGGGGTGGCTGGCTCCTAACAAAGCCAGTAGTGAGTGGGAAACAGTGTGGCCACTGCTAATGCCTTGTCCCTCCTTGTATTTCGCTAGTAAAACCTGCAGGATGGAATGAGGAGGCTGTGAGGTGGTGGTAAAGGTCATCCTTCCGATTCCATAAGAAATAACAAACTGTCCTTATTATGGGCATGTGTGCATGCATGCATGAGAGAGAGAGAGTGTGTGTGTGTGTGTGTGCGCGCGTGCGTGCCTATATGTGGAATCCAGAGGTCACCCTGACGTGGCAGGGGTGGGATGTTGTTTCTTAGGTGCCATCTAAACCTTGTTTTCTGACTCAGGGCCTATCAGTGGCGTGGATGGTTGGCCTGCAATCCAAGGATCTGCCTATCTGTACCTTCTTAGCACTGGGGTTACAAGTCTATATATACCACAGGACTGGGAAAAAGACTGGATAAAGGTGCTGACAGCCAAGCCTGGTGACCCGAGCTGTTTCTACAACTCTATAAAATGACCTTCAAAGCTGAGGTTCAAGGTTGCCCATAGGTTGGTACATACTGCTCCCTTTATAAACTCTTCAGCCCTCTTGAGGATTAAAAAGTGACAGCAGTCAATGGAGTGTTTGCATCAGTCAAACTGTAGCCTGGAAGAACTGTGAGCTGTCGATGAGGAAAGTTTCACAGAGAAGCAGACAGTCCAAAGGAAAGTCCACTCGTCTGTTTGTTTTGAGACATGGTTTCTCTATGGAGTCCATGTTGGCCTAGAACTTGTTCTGTAAACCAGGCCAGCCTTAGCCGTGGTAATCCTCCTGCCTCTGCCTTCTGAGTGTGTCATCATGCCCAGCTAAGAAGACTCTAGTAATCAAATAACTGTGCTGCTAAAAATAAACCTCCATGCATTTTATTTTAGATCTTTATTTTTAATTCGTGTGTGTGTCTGCACATGTCTGCCACATGTATGTAGATGCCGATTGGAGGACAAAAGAGGGGCTGGCTCCCTGGTGCTGGGGTTGCAGGCTGTTGTGAGCTGCTTACTGTGAGTTTGAGGAACAAACCGGGTCCTCGTCAAGAGCAGCAAGTACTTGTAACTGCTGTGCCACGTCTTCAACTCAGTTATTACTTTATTGTAAATTAATTTTTATAAATACAATAATTGAAAAACTAAACAGTGCTAGTAGGCTTAAGGAAAACAGAGGCTTGCTTTACCTAGCCTTAATTCTCCCTCCCTAGAGATGCTAGTTCGGCTGTTTCTTCTGGAACTTTCCTCCATGCTTTAAGACTGTAGCTCTTCATGACTTGGTTTTTCCTATGGCATCCTGTCCATTTTTTTCTCCCCTCTGGTGCTGAGGATTGAACCCAGGGCCTTAGGCATGCCAGGCAAGTGCTCTACCATCGAGCCACCGCCACCCGTTCATCTCCTCTTATTTTCTCAGCTTTGGATATTGCCTACTGATGTCCGATGCAGAAGATTCAGGTTTCTTTTCCCTGTTCAGCCTGCCCCATGCCCTCATCTTCCCACTCGTCAACAATTGCACTATTTTTTTTTTTTTTAGTTAATGTTTAACGTTCATATCATTAGTACATAAATAAAATAAATGTACTGTGAAGATTGTTCCCAACTGATCCAAGTAGCCCTGTCCAGCTATATTTCTCTTCAGTACAACTTCAGGGTTTTCCTGGAGTTCGTACTTGTATCACATTTTCTTATTTGTGTATTTCCTATTTCTTATTGTCGCCCTTGGGCTGCACTCAACACTGAGCCAAAGGTAAATCTCCACGTGTCTAAGCACGTCTGTTCCTCTCTGGGCTTTGTCTTTGCCTGGAGACAGCCTCTTGCAGGTCTCTGTTCTCCCACTCAGCCTTAGGCTAGATTCTCGTTCTAACACTTACAACGCTGCTTCCCTCCCGGGACTCCCCGCTCCTCTTTGTACAGGCTGCTCATTTTCTGAAACTCCTCTTCCTCCCTCCCTTGCTTACTCACAACTTTCAGGGGAAACATCCTTCCTAGAAAGGACGTGCCCAGGAAATCTTTGGGGATTTTGTGACCTTTGATGGATGGATGGTGGGAAGGGGTATGGAACTTTAGGTCAGGGGCCTGGGAGCACGCACACACATTTGGACAGTTCTGCTCTGCTGTGTTCTGGGTTCAGAGTTGCTGCTGAATGTCACACATCAGATTTGATTCTGATGCTCTAGCCCTGTTGAGCCTTTTTATTTTTTCCTCTGAGAAGCTTTTGGAGACACCTAATTTATGTCCCCAGCTCTGACCAAGTTTCTTTGAAAATTTCATTCTTTAATCTTTGTTGTTGTTTTCTCGAGACCAGGGTTTCTCTGTGTTGCCCTAGCTGTTCTAGAATTTGTTCTGTAGACTTGGCTGGCCTCAGAGTCACAGAGATCCACCTACCTCTGCCTCCTGAGTGCTGGGACTAGAGGCGTGCGCCACCACACCTGGCATACGCTATCATTCAGTGTGGTACCACACACTACCATTTAGCACACTAAATGGTAGTGTGCACCTGAAAATCTCAGCCATTTTGTGGAAGAAGCAAGAGGAGCAGGAGATCAAGGTGACCCCAGCAACATGAGACCCTGACGCAAACATAATTGTTTGTTTGCTCATTCTAAAACTGTATTAGTCAGATGGCGGGTTTATCCTTCCCCCTATTTTCCCATTTGTCTTTTTGTTCAGCTTTCTGGAAGAGTTCTTCAGCTTCACAGTTCAAGCATTCAATAGAAAATGCCTACTTGTGGAATAGCTGATTATTTAAGGGTCTTTCTCATGCTCTTACTATCCATTTTTTTATGTGCAGAGTCTTAGTTAATGAGTTCAGTATTTCTTCGTTCTCTGTGACGGTGTTCTAAGTGCTTGCCCTGTACTGTCACCAGCTTCCTTTGCAGCCTGCCTTGTGTCCCTCCCTCTAAATTCCTTTTGTTTGGCTTTAATATTGTGTCTGGATGCACAATAACCGCTAGCGAACAGTTTAAACACACTTAGATGCTCTGAGGTAGAAAGCCTGGGAGCACCACTGCTGGGGTAGAAGTCTGGAAGTCCATTTCACTAGGGGCTCATGGGACACCTAACCTGGATTAGAAAGTTTCTCCAACCCTGCCCCTCTTCAGAGGGCCAACCTGGCTGCCATCATCCTGGAAGCTGAGCTGTGGAATGAGGGGGTATGATGGTGAGGTCCTCACTAATCAGGGTTTAGACTTGCACTTGTTCTCCGGGTTTAGTCTCAGTCTCAGCTGTGCCAGATTCCTCATGCTCAGACCCTCTCTGAGTCATAGTCACGGACAGCAAAGGGTTCCTTTTATACGGAGGTAGGGTCTAGGTGTTGAAGACTTAGCATCTTTGGAAGCACATTTTATTTTATATTTATTTGTCTTTAAAGCTGTATTTATTACTGCTGTATGTCTATGTGTATGCTGTGTGTGGAACCATGAGGCCATGGGTGTGCCCTGGTAGAAGTTGGAGGACAATGCCTGGAAGTCAGGTGTCTCTTCCTAGTATGGGTTCTGGGGATCAAACTCAGGTCATCAGGCTTTCATGGCAAGCACTTTCACCTGCTGAGTCATCAGGCTGGCCTGGAAGCACATTTTACTCTTCAATTCCTGCCTCTGGCTTCTAGGTCCAGCCAGCATCTTCTTCTCATGTCTATGCACAGCCAACACTCAAGCCCACTTCCTAGCTTTCCCCACTGTGGCAGATCTATCTTCACTTTTCATCATCTGGCTGAATTTTATATTTTGACATTAGCATCCAAAATCACACGTTTCAAGGCTGATGGTCCTCATCTGCTGTCGTTGCTTGTCTATTTCCCACAGTTTGTGTATTTACTCTTTTGTAATTCTTTAATGACAGAGTGTGGAGAGAAGGGAGGGCTGAGATCGACACCCTGAACCACTGGACCTCTGAATCCAAGCCCTTGCTGGAAACACTTGGGTCTGATTAGGCTAACATAAAATCTGCCAGACAGATGTTAGTTACCTGCTGGCCAGTTTGGCTGGACAGATATGTGTTCCCTGCTGGGGACCAAGCAACTCCCACCTCCAGCTGCCTGGAGGCTCTCAATGACAACCAAGGGCAGCAGTCCCTTCTTGGGTCCTCTGGAGTTTCTAATGATGTGGTTCCCCAAAGGACACCACCGTATTAAAAGCCCACAGTGATCTTTATGCTCTGGAGGCAACTGCTCAACCACATTAGTCTGGCTGCTTGGCTCTCTTACCCCAGAAAGCTCATGTTTATCTATTTATTTGGTCTGAGAGACTAGAGGAGGGTCAGTTCTGCCAGGAGTAAACTTCCTGTTCCAAGTCCAACCCTGTCATTGTCCCTGGCCTGTTTTTCTGGCTACAATCCCTGGAGAGTTACACACAGAGATGCCAAGAGCTCAGGTACATGTGAGTGGGGATGGGTGGTGGGGATGGGGGAGGAGCAGTAGTCCTCAACCATTTTCATTGGCTAATGGGCTATAGATACAGAAGTAAGCGATTAATTCACTAGTACTTAAGGCTAAGAAAATGAGCTATACCTGTAGGGTATAAAATTATTTTCCAAGTAAATATTCTTCTAATTTCACAGAGATACAATAGTTGATATAGCTACTGGAGTGCATTTAAAATAGATCCATAATGTTTAAAGTCTGAAGCCAGTAAAAATGGATATTCACAGGAGAAGATAACCTTTTCCTTTAGGTGTTTGTTAATTCTAGGCAATTTTGCTATTTCTTTCTTTCTTTCTAAGTTTTCTAGTTTAAGCAAAAGAGCCTGGAAATCTGTGAGATTTAAGGACAACTACTTTTTCTGTCCAACAATCAAGCTTTTAGGCCAAATTTTAGCTTAGTCTTTTTGTTGGTTGGTTTTGTCTAATTCTTGTTACTCTCTTTTTAAAGAGTCGAATGAAAACTCCTAAATATCTCCAGAGGTATGTATACAACCCAAAACACACAGACACACCACAGCGGTCAAAGGCTGGACTCACCTGTTGAAATAGCAAGTAGCCATTGCTCCAGCTATAGTTATCCTCTGGCATGCAAGGATGAATTCGCTAGTCCATATGAGGCCAATTAAATGGTACCACCACATATACCGAATGCCCGAAAGAGGCTTATATTCCACTTGGCCACCTTCCATCACCTGGGCAGTGCCTGCAATTTAAAATGCAAACATGCTTTACACCAATATTTCCCTGATCTTGGAAGATGGTTCAACAGGCCATGATGTTTCTTCATGCTAGGCCTTTGGTACTATGCAAAACACAGATGGGAAGGTAAAATTTAAGTTCATAGAGCAAACACTAAAATTGGAGAAATTAAATAATACAAACAATATCAAAAGTGACTACGGGGAATTTGTAAGACACTTGACACACTCTCTAAAATGTAATCATTTTGAAGGTGTGAAATGGGTTCCGAAGAGTCTGTCTTCAGTGATGTCTCATGATTAATAGAAGTTCGCCTTTCCCTGTATATTTTCTGTTACATCACCTGTATGATGTGGGCCAAATGTGTTATACTGACAGAAACACACAAAATATTACGACTGTATTAAAGAACTCTTCACCAAAGAACTTAGACTCTGTAAGAGACACTCAGGAGTCTTCCTTCACTCAAAGGAATTTCATTTAGAGTTTGTTGCAAGAGCAGATGCTCTTGGCATGTGTAAAACACCTACTTTCCTTGGTGTGGGTCTTAGTGTTTGCAAGCCTGGGACACATTAGATATTGCTTCTTAGAGTTTTAGTCTTACCTGGGTACTAATTTCCTCTAGGTAGTTTGAACATAAAGTGATATAATGTGGATCACTTCTAAGATAAAGGCTGGTCTACGGAAGTATCCCTCCATAGGTGATACCAATTATCGCTGTCTTTATTGTTATAATATTATCATTATCATGGATTTCAGGAGCACAATACTGCATTGAATTGAGGTCAGTAAGGGTGTGTTAGTAATTTTCCAATGCTCGTATGTGTCACTCTCCTTTCTCCTCCAACCTCAAGAACCCTTTGGATTAGCTCTGCAGAAACTGGTAAACCAGCTGCCAGCTCTATGGCCATGCCTGATTCCTACATGTTCTCTCATTAGCTCTTCAAATAAACTCCCATAACGAAGAAGGCAGGCACTTGGATCTTTGCGGAAACCTACAACTTGCCTATGATTTAAACATGTTTTTTGTATTTCTTGTCACAGCTACCCATAGACATTCGGTTCATCCGTTCCTTCGCCTTTAGACACTCACAGTAGAGTTCGAGCACAAAGGGAGAGAAAGAAGACAACCACGTGTGAAGCAAAACCACACGTGAAGGCTGATCTTTGCTTCCTCTCTAAGTTCTGCAGGAGGTGGTGGGATAGCTTGCTTTACAGAGAGATGGCAAAGCTGGTCTACTGAACGCTGAGCTCATTTGTGCTTGGAAGGACACGTGTTTCAGGCGAGGCCCAGAAATATGCCTGTTTTTCCAAAGCTGGTGTGTTACAGAAAAGCATTCCCAACCACAAGCAAGTGACCTGTCATGATGACAATGCCCTTTAGATAAATGAGGCCCACAGGCTTTGAGAAAAAGACTCTGAGCCCTCTGAAGTGCATGGCTGGCGAACGAGCAGGCAGTTCCTTAGGCAAGACCGTGAGTCTCAGAAGCACATTGTGTTTTGGAGGTGGAGAATATTTACGTAGACGGGGGGTTGGAGGCATCCCATTTCTCACACAGACAGAAGGCCGGTGTGGACACTGAGAGGAGAGTCTGCCCTCTTGGCTGCCCCGCATGGCTATTTCTACACATTTCCTAGCTTGTCTCGCTGGTGATAACAGTCAGCAAGTGGGACATATGAAGTGATTAATCAAGATCCACTCTGCCCTCAAAGACTTGACCACCTCCAAAGAAGCAGCCAATAGCTTATTTTGACAGATTTCTGCGAGTTGAAGGGCTGAATCTCCTCTGCTCACCACATGTATGCAGGCAATTGGGTATGCTCGTGTGTGAGGGTGTGTGTGTACACACATGCCATGGCCTTGCATGTGGCAGTCAGGCAGCAACCTTCAGGTTTTGGTCCTTGCCTTTCCTCTTGTTTGAAATGGTCTCCTGACTGCTGCATAAGCCAGGTTAGCTGGCTCACCAACTGTAGGAGTTCCACCTGGCTCCTCCCTTTTCCTATAGCATGCTGGGATTATGGGGACTTCACTGCCATTTCCAGCGTTTATGTAGATTCTGGGGATCCAAATGCAGTTGCCAGGCTTGCACATCAAGTGCTTTTACCCATGGAGCTATCACTCCATCTCCCGAAGCTAAGCTGCCCTTTATTTGGTCCTCTGTATCACTTTTACTGAGCTTTTATAGATGTTCATTGAGATAGGATTATTTAGCTTCTCAATGCACTTGCTGGCATTTTGGAGCAGCTATTTCCCTGTAGAGCATTGTGATTGTTTGATCCATTTGTGGGTGTTTAGGAGTACAGTTTGCCTCTCCTCCCTATTTATAATGATTCAAGAAAACCTCCATATGATGCCAAATGCCACCTGGGAGGAAATCACTGCAAGAGAAGCACTGCTCTAAGCACATCTCTTAAAAGATCAGGCACTGTGGCTTGAGGGTGAAAGCCTGGGAACAGAAGGCCTTCCACAGTGTTCCAGAACCTGAGGGTGGGGCAGGCGTGCTTAAGCATGCAGGACTGCCCTCTCCTGGTGGGCCTTGTTGGTGCAGGCAAGATCCTCTAGGGTAGCTGACCAACTGCAAACAAATCATGGAAACTTCTAAAAGGTTCTTATCACCTAAGGATAGTGATAACTACTTCTCACTCTCTTGTGACTCCATCTCATCTTGACTCTAAATTCAACACACTAGCAGAGGTAATAAGTGGATAAGGTTCTAAGAACAATGTGTGATGCATGCTTAACTACAAATGAAGTATAGGTAATATGGTCCCAATGCTGACATTAAACACTTACCGAACATCTACTGAACACTGGCAATTTGATGGACATTAGCAACTGGGAGGAAAAATGGGTGATGAAAAAGAAAACCAGTCTGAGACTCAGGACTTACAGGTGACCATGTTGGTTTGCTCATCTCATTTTCTAGACAACTGCTTTACCATCTCTCCTCCAACCACAGAGCCAATAACTTCACTTCCTGTTGCTCTGAGGCAATTGAAAGACCTCTACTTATGCCTGCTCCCCACGCATACTTATCAGTGTGTCCAGAATTTAACCTCAGCCCTTGAAAGGGTAAACTGCCCTTGAGCCTGAGGCCAACCCTGTCATTAGATCCCACTCTTTCCCACACACTTGAAAAGGTCTCTTCACAATTCTGCCTTCTTCATCAAAATACTCCCTTTCCTGAGCCAGTCTTAACTCTTCTCCAGAAAACAAAACAAAACAAACAAACAACCCCCCCCAAAAAACTACCCTGGACTCTTTCCTGGGCTCTCTCACAGTCAAATACCTCCAGATTAACCATCCATAACAGATCCTACCGATTCTTTTTCTCCTACCTACCTTCTGTTAAGAGATTCCAATCATGGCTGCCTTCCTCTTATCTGCAACGACTACAATAGTCTGACCTCCAAGTTTCTTTAAGACAGCAATACCCAGATATTTGTTCTTAGCTTAGATATGGAACCACTCACATGCCCTGGAAACCCTTTCCCAGAATGCAAATCTTGTCACCTACCTCCAGCCTTCACTTTTAGCCCCCTTTGTTGTCCTTCCTTATCCCCAGAGTCAATTTATTTTCAACAGCAAATCTAGACAAGCGCTCTACCACTGAACTAAGCCTTGGTTTTCTAGGGCATCTTAACAGAGAAATGTCTGAAAGCACAAATCTTTATCTACTCCCAAGCACTGTTTATATGTTCCTTCTGACCTTCAGACTCATTGCTTGTTAGGAATATCCACCTAATGGTTAAAACATAACTCCCCAAATTAATGTCTACTCATGAAATGCCCCTCTCAACTTTCTGTCCCAACTCAGTTAATGGCCATCTCTTTTTCCAGCTGCTAAAATTAGAGACAAAGCAAAACAACCCCAAGCCGTTGCCAACTCTTTTGCCTCCCTCCTTCATCTAGAACATCAGCAAGTACTACACACTCTAAAGTAGTTGCAGAACCCAGTATGTAACACTGCACGACAAAGACCTGAGAGCTATGCCCCCATCTCTCTTCGTCCTGCAGTACTACTTTAAAATGAACATGAGGCTGTGTTTCTGTCCTCTGAAATTCCCATCTCATGGCCCAGGATTTGACCCCATTCCTTCTCTGACTTTAGTCTGCTCTATTAATGACACATTTTTAGCTGAATATGCTTTCTTCCTGTGCCCCAGGACCCTGCTTACTTGGGACATTCTTCCTCCCCTAACTCAGCCTTGTGGCCCTGTCTTTGTTCAAGAATCTTTGCTCAACCCTAACCCTAATTCTGACCCTATGGCCAAATTAATAATCGAGTTCCTGTCTGCTCAGGCATTTGCTGTTCCTGTCCTGACTTGATTTTCTCCATACTCTTATCAATTGTTACTCATTTGCTTTTTATTTAATTCATATTTTCCTTTGTTTTAATAGTTTTGTTTTTTAAATTCTTCTGAGACAGGGTTTCTTTCTCTGTAGTTCTGGATGTCCTGGAACTTGCTATGTAGACCAGGCTGGCTTAGAACTCAAAGATTTGCCTGCTGCTGCCTCCCAAGTTCTGGGCTTAAAGGTGTGTATCAGCACAGCTCACCTCAGGACATTTAGCTCATAGTAAATGCTGAATTAGTGGATGGATGTAGAGATCGGTGAGTACTCTTCAAAGAACATAATCTATTTTTTAAAAATTGTATGTGTATGGGTGTCTTGCCTGCATTTAAGTCTGTGCATCATGTGTACACATGGCATCAACATTTACTGGAGAAAAAGCTCATGTGAGAAAACATGACCCACCAAAGTTTATTATGTTTCTGTACATTAAATTGTTAACTTTCTCAACCCTTAGCTCCCTCAAAGAAAACTCACAAATATTTACCTACTGAGTGTGCCCCCCTCCCCACCACAACACACAACCTCACTCTAGGTCACAGAGATCCTGTCCTCTTACGTCACTGCCTGAGAGGACCTTCAGTGACACAAGGAGCCACCATGCAGGGTCCACCTGCGTCCTCTGGCAAGCATCCTTTCCTAAGATGTGGAAGTTGCTCACTGATGGGAGATGTCATTCTGTACATATGTTTCTCATATTGGTTAATGAATAAAGCACTGTGGGCCAATAGGAAAACAAGATAGGCCGGACTAGGAGACAAGGAGGAGAGGAAGAAGAGGAAGAGGATTCAAGATGGAGGACAGAGAGAGCAGAATGACAGCCCCTCACTCTCCGGTAAGATAAGACCACGTGGAAATACTAAGATTAATAGAGATGGGTTAATATTTAAGACAGAGCAAGCCGATAAGAAACTAGTAACTGGCCAACAGCATTATACATATTACAGCGTCTGTGAGTTATTTGGGTGCAGCGTGGTGGTGGGACCAGACCGGCAGGGAAAACCAACTCATAACAGCTCACACTTCTCATGGGCACAGCATACCCATCTTCCTGGAGTCAAAAATTGATGCAGTTGCTGGCCTGCTTGGCCCAGATTCAAGCTACTGACACTGGATGAACTTGGTGAACAAAGGGGACTCTGTGCTCTTGGGCTCTGTGCTCATGAGTCTGTAGAAAGGAAGGTCAGGTAGCCCGAGGGAGTCCATGATCCTGCACTACAGCTGGGAGCACAGGGGTAGCGCTTTGTGGTACCTGTTCTACTGTGAAGGCGAAGATCACACACCTGGAGAGCTACATTTGGGTCTAGACACTCTAGACACTCCGTTTCCTTTTCCTTCCCTGAGGCTCCTCCCATCCATGCCCACTGAGCTCTTGCATTAACGGAGAACCCATGAAGTGACTGTGGAAAAACAGGCTCCCTTCAACCAAAGAATGACCCCTTGCCTCCCTGCCTTCACTCTGGGTCCTCATGGCTGAGGCTGTCAAAGCTCTGTTGTTGGGCCCATGCAAGAGAATGTCACAGGATACCAAACTAGCAGTTCAATCCCAAGTCAGCTCTGGGGCTCTAACTCCATGATGTCACTGTCAAGTCTCAGGACAGGGCTTTTTCATTCGTGCCTGAGACCAGGCTCTCTGGAATTTTTCCGACCTGCACTGAGTATTTTTGCTCTATCCGTTTCTGATATTCTGTCAATTTCCAGCCTTTCCACTTGCACAGTGGGGTTAGCACTTCATCCAGAAAGTGAGGTGGGTAGTGGGAAGTGTGTTAGTGCAGAGAACTTTGCAGTCAGTGAGCCACGGCTCATCCTCACTGTACAATTATCAGCTGGCTACTCACTGCATCTTTAATTTTCTGGCTTAAAACTTGAGAAAGGCAGACTAGTTACAAGGGGTCGTGGTGCTGGCAGAAGAGAAATTACCTGGTATGGAGTTAGCTGAGGGCCTTCCAGCACTGGGTTGGTTTCTCCTCTTTGGGCACACAGCCCCTGCTCTGCCTTCCGGCAGCACTGAGCCTACCTTGAGCTAGGGAGCTAGGGGAAGACGCTTGGTAGTGTGCTGCTTTCAAGTGCCACTGTAGGAGAGCTTTCCCGCCCTCCTGGGTAATAGACCCTGTAAGTTTTTAATTATGCATGGCTGGCAAAGTGGAAACTTCATTTCCCAACCTCCTTAGGAGATGGGTGTTACCACGTCCCTTGCACCTGGCCATTGTGGGTAGATAGAATTCTGTGCTGTCTGTAACTTCATCTTCATTCCCTGCCATTCTCCTAAAGACTGAGGTGAGACACCATGGTTGGAGACCATGTGACCCTGTCAACTATGACATGGCAGGAAAGAGCAGAGATTGAGGCACGAGAAGGCATTGGGGTTTTGTGTACTTTACCTTACATCTTTCAGTTTTCTTCCCTTTCTAGACAGAGCTCATTCTGATTATTAGAGTTAATCTGCTTGACCAAGGTTCCTCTCTGGGTGACTTTTGGACAGTCACTGGAGGCCTTCAGAAAGCCTTCAGAGACCTCCAGCAGAAGAGGCTGCTCCTACAGCATCCCCACATCTGGACAGGGGGGTCTTCAAGGGCTGTAACTTCCAAGGAACCCATGAGCATCTTAATTGTGTAGGGTCACTTAACTCCAGAGGAGAGGGAAGGGAACCAAGTTCACGAAGAATCTACTACATTGACTTTGTTCTGTGACATGGGCCTGTGTCTGTATTATAGACATTGTGCAAGAAAATGCATTTTTGCCTCACCAAATGGAGTGAATAAGGGAGAAGATACACTTGATAATGTATTAGGGAATTGGCCCAGTCTTGTTGATGTGGCATCTGTTCTTGCTCTTGGCTGCCTGGGAACAGTCTCATCAAGTAACTTACTGTTTGTACTTGCCACAGAGTATGAATCTGGGCCATCACCCAATCGAAGAGTAGAGTCAAACCATTTTCAGAATGGCTTCACTTAAGTGTGGCCCACTAATCAGCTGTTTGTCCTCACATTGGTTGGTAGTACCAGTTTGCAAGGATGCAGGGGCTTCAGCTGAATGAAGGTCATCACTGAGCACTTTGCTCCTTCCAGCTGACATGTGTGTATGTGTGTTAATTTACCCATGTATGTACATGTTTATGGAGGAACACCTTGGGTATTACTCTTCAGGCACTATCTGATTAATTATTGAGACAGTGACTCTCATGGGTCTGGAACTGACCAGCAGAACTTGACCAGTAGGCCAGGCTATCCCTCAGCCAGTGAATTTCTGATCTGACCGTGTTTGTCTCCTGGGTTGGACCCTTTATGGACTACACTATCTCCCCAGGCCCCTACATTTTCTTTTCATAGCAGAAATTTCTCAGTGAAGGCAACATCAGAGTGATATGCCTAGATATACATGTTTGTTTTCAAGACAGGGTTTCTCTGTATAACCCTAACTGTCCTAGAACTCACTCTGTAGATCAGGCTGGCCTCAAATGGAGATTTGCATGCCTCTGCCTCCCAAGTGCTAGGATTAAAGGCATGTGCCATGACCACCTAGCCCCTCAATCTTTATATTCATACCAAATCTGTCCATCCATGCACCCAGCTGACCCTGAGCAAGTCCCCTGGAGGAGAAGCACCTTTGGGACATGACAGGAGAACGGAGACTACAGTTTCCCTTGCAAAATCAAAACAATCTGAACTTCTGTATGTACTTGTTATAAACTTACACTGGCCTTGCTGGAATCAACTCACAGGGCAGTCTTTACTCTGTGCTATACTGATTTTCTAGGAGATGGCAACTTACCTTGGAAAAGATTTAAACCCGAGGCAGGCTTTCACGGAGTCCGGGCTGGCTCAAACTGGCTAGGTGGCCACGAATGAACTCTCACTTCTGATTTTCCTGCCTCTGCTTCTAGAACGCTAATATTATGAGCATGTGCCATTGCACTCAGTTTGTGAGGTGCTGGGATGAGCCCAGGGTTTCACGCCTGCTAGGGAAGGTCTTTACCCACTGAGCCATTTTCTCCAGCCCTACACCTGAGGACAATTAACAGTAGTCTTCCTGTGAGCTTTGGTTCGTGTTATAGTTTCACCTAAGTTTTCAAGCCTGACTGAATTTGTTAACTTATGAAACCCAGCTTCTCCAAAGCCGATACAAAAGAGTTCCCCATCACAGGGCCCCTGGCTCCACCGCTGTCCCCACCAGACGCCTCTAGTTGCACAAGAGGTTTGGCCCTCATAGGAATTGGCTGACAGTTCTAAAATGGTGACACTTACCAGCAGTCCCCAGGCTCAGCAACACAGCCACCCAAAGGACCCAGAAGAAAATGAGGATGGCAAATGTCCACAGCGGTTGGAACAGCAGGAAGGGACAGCTGCTGATAGCTTTGTTTGTGACTTGGAGAAGCTCAACCGTCAATTTCATTCTCTTTCTGAGGGTAAAAATCAAGGCAAGGAGAACTGCCTGCTGAGAAAGAGGTCAGAGTGAACCACTGCAAAGCAGGGAGGGCCTGGGTGGGGCTGGAGACAAACTGTTTAACTGGCTCCGAGCAGCTCTCTTTGATGATATCCACTACTTCTATTATAAATGGGTAGGTACATTCCCAAGCACTAACTTACTATGTCCTGGCCCCGTAGATCCCGCAATCACAATAGCAAACAAGGACCAATCCCTTCCTAAAGGAGCCACAGTTTGAAGGTGAGTAAAAAAGGCCTTTAAAGGTCAAGGGGAAAAAAGTCTTCCATTTTCCCTCCTCCACGGCACACACCCAGAGATGGGCTGCAAAGAGGCAAGAGAATGTGAGTGTCGTGTAAAAGGAGTGTGTCTCAAAGCTACTTGCTATGCCCTTCTCCGGACAGACACAGTTACAGGTCTCCCAGGCTAAGGAAACCACCACCCTTCACATCTGTATCATCCAGCCTTCTCTACTGTTCTCTTCTTGGTCAAGCTTCTTGGTTTGTCTTGGTTACTGCCAATCTCCCACATCTGACCTCTGCCTCTTTATCCGCCGTAAATTCTTTGACCTCAACACTCTCCTGAAACTGTTCTCCCAAGGTGACCTGTGGAGGGACCTCCATGTGTGACTTCTGGAGTGTTAAATCTTCTGGAATATCCAAGTTGTTTTTGGCTGGAATTCAGTAATTTGGATTCAGAGCTGATGGTGGCTACTTAACTAGCTTTTGGAAGGGCTTGTCTTACCGTCATGACTGTAGTGACAATGGCAAAGGCTAGCATGCACTTCATATTCTCTCTTTCTGTGTCCAATTCTGTGCTGAGGTCATTGGTGTAGTCATAATACAACCACCATAAGACACCACAGACAACTAGGAAACAAAGTGACAGTAGGCTTGGCATGTGTCCTGAGATTACCCACTCCTCTTACACACACACACACACACACACACACACACACACACACACACACACACAGATGCCCACACAAAGTGCAGCCACTTCAGACCTAATGATCCTGTTCAAATAGCAGGTCCTAAATCCCCAGATGCTGTGTAGTCCATCATTTCTCTCTGGGTGATCGGGGAAAAGCCAGGTTAGCCTGCAGAGAACCTGCAAATCCTAGGGTACCTACTGGCCTTTTGTAGACACATGGAAGGACATGGGTTATTACAGATGTGTTTGTGGCAGAGGGGGGCCCTAACTCTCTGCATCCTCATGGCCATGAGGTAAAAATCAGTTTTAGGTTATCTTATGCTTCCACCAGGAGAATACTAATTTAATATAAACTCAGGACAAGGAAACCCAGCGACAATGGAGTGAAACCTCTGAAACTGTGAGCCCAAGAAATTCTCTCCTTAAGTGATTTGCTCAGGTGTTTTGTTGCACAGTTGGAAAGGTGACTATCACAGGAGCCCAGGACTCCTGTGTGGCTGCCTGAGAGCAGTACTAAAAATTCGAAGAGATGAAACATTGCAGTCATTAAAATGGCCTCTATCAGTTGGAAAATAGGGCCTTAATCTCTTTCCTCAAAACTCCTAGAAGAAGGAAAAGAGGGATCTCGGCTCCTCTCAGCCTTGCTCTTCAGACTGGTCAGAGCCTTTGTGTGACAACCATGGGTTGTGTAAGTGTAGCACAGAATAGATCCTTCAGAATGAAAGAAAAGAAAGATTGAAAGAACAGCTCTCTATGTAGCCCTAACTGTCCTCAAACTTGCTGTGTAGACCAGGCTGGCCTTGACTAAAGGTGGGACTAAAGGTGTGCACTAACATGGCCAGCTGGACTTCTTCCTTACAATGTATGAAAGTACTGGTGAAATACAGGGCATGTGCACGCTTGCCAAGACTCTAGCACGGAGCTTTGTCCTCAGCCCAGTGTAACGGGCTCCAGTGTCACCCAGTTGGCAGGCTTGTCTCAGGAGCTACACAATAGGCAGACTCAAGGACAGCCTGGGCATTAACACTCTTTGGGAGGCAGAAGCAACTGACATTGTCCTCCCTGTTTCCCCTTATGTAAAATGATGGGGCTAGCCTGCATCTCCTTCTAAGACTCTAGTTAGTTAAAACATAAAACAACAAGAACCCCAACCTTTACACTCTGGACTTACTGGAAAGATGTTCCATTTACTCAAGAAGGGTTGAAATACTTACACAGCAATCCCAAAATAACCAACGAAATGATAATGTGGACCAGAAGGGTGGAGATGAATCGGAAGGTGAACATCATGGCCAGAGACAAGGCTGGAAAGGTAAGCACAGCACGTGATGCTCGGGGGCAACCGGTGGGAGGTGGATAGGAAGGTGGTAAATATAAAACTGATGATCGAGCCCAGAAAAGTGAGGGCTGACAGACAGGCTTACTCAATATCCAAATATCTTGGGAAATCTACCAAATACTAAATACCCAGGGTACCCTCCTAGGCCTGTGACACAAGACAGCTCTGATAAGTAGGTTCAGAAAAATGCTGGCATTCTTCTCAAATTTAAATAGTTAAAGATAACAAAGTAAGTAAGTAAGTAATGAATGAATAAATAAATGTATTATTCCACAATACCTGAAAATAAATTATTTTTCACAACTCCAAATCAACTATTTAAAATTTTATAGTATTTAAGCCTTTTGTCTTTTAAACTGGGCTATGTAAAGTCCTAACGTTGTTTTGCCTTTTATTTAGGTTTTTCAAGACAGGGTTTCTTTGTGTAGTCCTGGCTATCCCGGAACTCACTCTGTAGATCAGGCTGGCCTTGAACTCACAGAGATCCACCTGTCTGTGCTTCCTGATTGCTGGGATTAAAGGTCTGCGCCACCGCCATGGGGCTAATAAGTAACTTTTTTTAAACATGCAGAAATACATTGATGGCTGACCCAAAAGTCTATTTCAGCTTGGAGGTGGGAGGCCTTGCTACTGGAAAGGGTTGAGGTAGCGACCTACAACATTTTCCTGAAGCAATGTGGCCTAACGTCTTCAGACAGAAAATCTGCTCTTAGCCTCAGCAAGGAGAAAAAAGCATGGAAGCCATGGGTCAAGAGTGGGCAGCTGCTTCCCCAGACACACAAGGGAGCAGGCCTTTGCTCAAAGCAGGTAGGGCTCCATCAGGCTGGGACCCTGGGAATTGCATGGACACATACTCCTCCCTTTCCCCGACCATCAGCCTTCTGATGTCATGGACTGACAAGTGGAAGGCACACTGGCCAGCAGAACTGGTGTCTGGTGTCCCCGATGATTGTACTTTCCATGGCCAACGCATAAAGTGGCAGTGTTTTATTTGCCTATCTCATATGCAGCTAACAAAAGACAGGAGCCAGGCCAGTATAGTACTCACTTCTATGCAGGACAGCTTCCCAGCTGGAGCCAACTAATCCTACTCCCCCCCCCCCCGTCTATACTTAAACCTTGGAACAAATCTGTAAAGAAAATAAGTAAGGTCTATATTTAAGTCAAAGATGCCGATTTTCATTACACAAAGTACTTGAGTGCTAGGAAATTGGGCATTCCATATACAGTTACTGAATAAAATTAACTGAGCATTACCGAATGTGAAGACACATAAGCCGAGGATGGTGTCTCTTCCTGCCATTATTCCACTTAGAATCCGATGGAGAGCGTCAGCATCATTTATAAAGACTGATGCAAATAAGGAATAGCACTCGGGTGTCTGAGGAATGCACCGATTAAGTAAGGGAAAGGACTTGCTGAAAATAAAAGGTAGGATCAATGGTAAAATGATCAATTATTTATCTTTAAAAATGTTTATATTCAAATTTCAACATCCCTAAACTAGAAGCTCAGCATTTATAAAAACGACTTTATGAGTAAATGGGATGGCTCAACAGGTAAAGGCACCTGCTTCTAAAGCCTGAAGACTGGAGTTCAATCAGGATGTTGTCCCCTGATCTCCACATATGTGTGGTAGCATCTGCCCTGACCTGATTATGTACCCAATTATGCATGCTCATGCTCTGTGTGTATGTGTGGGGTGAATAGTTGATACTCATATTGAGAAAATGATTAAGGAAACACTAGACTTTTTTTCTTTTTAAGATTTATTTATTTATTATGTATATAGTGTTCTGCCTGCATGCATCCCTACAGGCCAGAATAGGGCACCAGATCTCATTACGAATGGTTGTGAGCTGTCATATGGTTGCTGGGAATTGAACTCAGGACTTATGGAAGAGCAGCCAGTGCTCTTAACCTCTGAGCCATCTCTCCAGCCTCTAGCCTCTTGAAACTTTTCTTCCTTTTGGATTTTTAGAGGCTGACTGACATCTCATAGACTATCTACACACCACCTTTTTTTTTTTTTTTTTTAAATAAATAGGAACTTTTGGATTCTCAGATTATCAACTCCAGCACAAGAATAAAATCTCTCTCTCTCTCTCTGTGTTGTATGTACATGTATGTTCTCATATGCATGTGCACAGTGTGTATAGGTCTGAGGTCAATCAATCTTGGTTGTCACTTTTTACTCTACCTTTGTTTTTGAGACAGGGTCTCTTCACTGAATCTGGAGCTCACCAATTGTCTTGACTGGTTGGCCAGGATCTTCGACTCTGAGCTCAGAATCACATATGCACACTTCTGTGGCCAGCCTTTGTGTATGTGCAGAGATTTGAACTCAGGTCTTCATGCTGGAGCAGCAAGTATTCTACTCCCTGAACTCTTTCCCCACCCCAAGAATTCCTTTAAGGAATTCAAGGAATAGGGTGGTGGACTGGGCTGACTAGAAGCTGCACTGGTGACAGGAATGACTTTCTTTGGTCTTCTTCAGAAATTGAAGCCCAGCTTGTGTGACTGACACTTCAGTCCATGTGAAAGATAATCTCAGATCTCTCATCTGAAGTGTAAACACACCCAGGAATAGCCATTCTAAGAAATCTAAACGAACCACAGATACCATCAGGAGGTCTCCCACCACCCCATAAAACTCCCAGTTTAACAAGGGCCTGATTATCTAACAGATTGTGGAAAACCAGGCAGCTGCGTTCTGTGAAATGTAAAGAGGAAACAGGAAGAGAGAAGATGGCTTCTGAAACTCCTGCTGAAGTTTAACATGGACGAGTGAAAAAACCTTCCATGGGTGGTCACAGTTTTATAAAAAGAGTCCCCGAGTCACTCAGTAGTGATTTCATGGAAACATAAAAGGAAAATTAAATTTAAATTGACATTTTGGGGAGGGTAAAACGTTCACGTGATAATTCTAGAAGGTCCAATGGACTAAGTCTTCCTTGTTTAGTGGCTGAGCACATTTCTTCACAAACAACCATTGTTTTCAGAGGTGGCAATGTGCAATTAGTGAAATACAGCTTTTGCTTGTACCCTATCATATTCCAGCAGCGTCCTTTCTTTGTCCCAGGACATAGGTCAGGACATCAAGTCACATCTGCTTGTCATAATCCTCTTTAGTCTGCAACTTGTTACTCATGACTGCTGTCTTTGAAGATTCTCAATGGGGTGATTTGCAAACTCCCCACTACTTGTAGAATTTCTCTCCTATTCTTTCATGATTATTAGACTGCAGTTCTGGGTTTAGGGGAAGGCATCATTGTAAGATGTCATTTCCTTTTCATGGATCCCATCAGGCAGCTTAAGTAGCCAGGTGACATTACTGTGAATTGATCTTGATGACTTCATTAAGGTTGTCATTTCCCCTTTATCCTCTAGTCTTGGGAAATGAGTCACTAAGCCTTGCTCACTGTCATGGGGAGGGAGCTCAAGCTCTGCCTCTTACAGAGAGAAGTATTTGTATTATTTACTTGACAATCACTTATATCAGCCTATCCTCTCCTCCTCTCTTCTTCCTCCTCCATCATTTCTTTATAGTCTGGCTGTACACGCTGATACTAGAATTAGCTGGCATTTTCCTTATCAAAGACCTCATCCAATCTGCTATTTGTCCAAGAATCCTTTGTAAAATGGCATCTAGCAGCCAAGAGCCATTTGTTGGATTTGCTTACTGCCGTTGGAGTGTCATTCATTTAGATCCTTTCATCATCAACTCTAGCACAAAGCTTCAGGATGGCTAGTCAAGCCAGGACACGGCACAGGCGAGGCAGAGGCAGGTGATCTCTGTGAGTGAGAGGGTATCCTGGTCTACATAGCAGACTCCAGGCCCCTGTCTCAAAAAACCCAAATGAAGCAGAACAAACCAAGCCAAAGAAACACACAATTGCTTGTCAATTTTGGTTCAAAGTGCCCCCTCCCCAATGGCAACACTGGTGACGACGTCCTATACAGAAGGACTTTGGTGAAATAAATGAATGGACTGTTATTGGGTAAACAGGGGCCTGAAGGGGGTTTCTGTCTACCAGGAACCTCCTTCAATCCAGCCCTGCCACAAAGATTAACTAACTACCTTGGGAAGGGGCATCTAATGCCTGATCAAACCCAACAGTCTGTACTAGATCCAAGATCCCCTCCCCCACCCGGCCACTGTCCTATACAATTCTCTTGCTTTTCTGCTTTGTTCTTCTCTGCCCCACCTCCAGCCCCGGAAATAGCTCTGGCAGTTTGATCCCCAAAGCAACTCTCTTTCTACTCATGGAGTAGTCAGTTCTGAGGTTTCACTGCATCCTTTCAGACTTTTGGCAAATACATACACTCACTAATTCTAGCATGTTCTTCGTGTACACCCCTTCTTGCTTTTAGCCTCCATTTCCTAGTGCCAAAGATGTTTCCCAAAGTTACTTAGGACAGCTCTTTTCTTTCTACCTGCATCAGTGGGGCTGTAATAAGTTTATTTATTTATTTATTTATTTATTTACTTATTTATAGACAGGGTCATAGCCCTGGTTCTCATGGAACTTTCTATGTAGATCAGGCTGGCCTCAAATTCCCTGAGATCTGCCTGCCTGTGCCTCTCTAGTTCTGGAATTCAAGGCTTTTGTCATCATGCCTACTGTCATACATTTGTATGTAGTTAACAATCTCCTACCTGTTTGGTTGATTTGGTTTTTTTCATTTGCACAAACTGAATGTCAGTCCCATTAGGTTGTTAATAAGAATGGTCATTGTCAGAACAGTAGCAGAGTTTGTTTTGGTTTTGAGACTGTCATGAGACTTCATCCCTAACCTCCAAGGAGAAGATGAGAAGCACATCTCCTAATTCTCCTAAGTCAGACAAAGAAGATCTCATGGAAAACAGCATAGAGACTCCAAGAGCTAAGTGTGAACCACCATTAACATCTGGAGAGGGCATAGCTTTGATTTTTCAGGGACAAGGGATGTATGAGGGCCTTTGGAGGGTCCAGATATGCTACACATGCATAGACTCTACTGACTGTATCTAAGTCAGCTATGTGGAAGGCGGTGGGGACCTGAGCAGAATGGGGCTACAGCCTGCTCCAGTCAGCACTGAAGAGGACCTCCCACATGACCAGCTGGCTGGAGAATACAGGACACTTAGTACCTGAAAGTCACCAGAGAAGACTCTGGAACTGCCTGTGTTTAACTCAAGAGCAAGGGGGTGCGGAGATGGACTAGTTCCACTGAATAAATTTAAAAAGACATAGAGAAAAGCCAAGTTCTTTCTGGCTATGTCCCATGTTCTGTTTGTAGGATGTAATGGTTATGGTATGACATATTTGTAGGATGTAATGACTATGGAATGACAAATACATGAGTATGGATTTGTGCATTTCTATCTGAAAACACATAAAGCACACCATGTTTCACATTTCCCCTTTAAAGCAAAAGCAGTACACTACATACTGATCTACTGTTTGCTTTTAATAATATACCTTACATCACTGCGCATATCAGAATCTTCCTTCCTTCCTTCCTTCCTTCCTTCCTTCCTTCCTTCCTTCCTTTCTTTCTTTCTTTCTTTCTTTCTTTCTTTCTTTCTTTCTTGAGACAGGGTTTCTCTATATTGCTTTGGAGCCTATCCTGGAACTCACTCTGTAGACCAGGCTGCCTATTTTTCTTTTTAGAATTGCTTTATTTTTAATTAAGTATATGTGTGTGCAGGTGAGTACCGGTGCCTGGGGGAAGCCAGGCATCAGATTCCCTGGAACTGGAGTTACAGTCAGTTGTGAGCCACTCAGTGTGGGTCCTGGGAACTGAACTCAGGTCCTCTGCAGGAGCAGTGTGCACTTTTAACCTCTGAGCCATCTTGCCAGCCCCTGGGATTTCCTGCTTTTATTGCTGCAAAATATGTATGTTACCATGTAACGCTCAGATCTTAAACATGCAACCAACCAGACTTTTGGCAAATACATACACTCACATAACTACTATCCCTTTCAAGACACAATAGGAACACTGCCCCCAACACATGCTAACCTGCCACCCTGGTTCATTTTCTCATTATGTGACCAATGCTGGCCTTAAACTTGGAATTTTCCTGCCCACGTTTTCCAGATGCTGGGCTTACAGACAGGAACCACCAGGGCCTGATTAGGACATGGAACATTTTTATAGTTGCAGTAAGTCCCCTTAGTCTTAGTCCCCTATAGATCTGATTGTTTATTTTTGTTTGTTTGTTTTGAGAGGTTGTTGTCAAACTCATTATGTAGCCAAGGGTGATTTTGAGTTTCTGATTCTTCTACCGGAATACAACTGTCACACACCATTGTGCCCCATTCATACAGTGCTGGGGATTTGAACCCAGAGCTTTATGAATGCTAAGCAAGGACTCTACCAACTGAGCTGCATCCTTAGCTCAACAGATCTGATTTCTACTACTAGAACT